CCATCTCTGTAGCCCTGCTTAATTATTTTTAAATTATTTTTTATTCCTTGACTGTATATATCCTTTCTCCTTTCCTTCTCAAGCCCATGTATATTTTTAAACACACTGCTACCTATTTATGGGTTTCTTTCATCTGTATCTGTCTTTATTGATCATTGTAGCGTTCTTTGATTGAATGAGACTTTTCTTAAACTGCTACATCCATCACCTGTGCTGCTCAGCTTATGCATGGTGCTAGCAAATGCAGGCTGGTGGCCTACTCCATCCTTCAGGCAGCTGCTGGGAGATGTGTCTCTTTATTGAGACTGGCATGAGATTGTGAGACTAGGAAGCCATGTTTGGCTCTGTTTTTGTGTGTTTGGAACATTATCTTAAGCTTACTCAGGTCCTATGTGGATGCAGGTACTGGATGTCAGGCAAGAATTGTAAGCAGACATTCTCTGTTCCACCAGTCGGTTCTGTCCTGCCAGCTAACCACACAGAGACTTATTATTTATAAATGCTTTGCCAATAACTTAGACTAGCTCTTACATCTTAAATTGACCCATATTTAATATCTATGTTCTACCATGTTGTGGTAGCTTTTTTCAGCACAGCAAGTTCATCTCCTGCTTCCTCTGCATCTCCTTGCAACTCCCATGACCCTGTCCTTCATCTTCCCATCATCCTCTCAGTTTGGCTCTGCCACTTAACCTCTTCCTGTCTAGCCATTGGCCAGTTAGTCCTTTGTTAAACCAATGAGAGCAACGAATATTCATGGTGTACAAAATGATTGTTCCACAGCACATGTCCTTACCTACAACTCCAGAGCTGGCTGACAAGGCAGGAGAAAACAGGAATCAGTGGGCTTGTGCACCACCTACCTACCTATAACTCTCTGAAAGACCCTGTCTCAAGGAAATAAGGTGGAGAATGATAGATCAGGATATCTGATATCTCCTCTGCCCTCTACACACATGCAGATGCACACACCCACACACACCACTCATACACAAAACACATTAAAAAAAAGAATATATACTATGGTCCATCAGAAGTCAGAGATTCCCATCAGTAACTAATGAGCATCTGTAATCCTCAAGGCAAAGAGAATTCTCAGGCAATGGCACCTCATTTGGTAAGTTCCTCAAGGGAGCAATGAACTAATTGCTTAGAAGCTAAGTAGTGAGTGAAACTGCTGTTTGAACATCTTCTGTTAGGAATATGTATGTAGTGTCTTCAGGGGTGAATAGGAATTCACCAGGGAAAGAATGGGGCATTGAGCCTTGAAAAAAGAAACCAGAGGCCTGAAGTACATGATTTTCTCCATCTTCGCTGTTCCCTTTCTAGTCAAACATATTTTCTGGAGCCATATTCATAAAGCTGGCATTTGGACTGGACCTTTACCTGTCGATCTTCATCCTTTTGGCTATCACTGCTGTTTTCACAATCACTGGTGAGTCCTCTGTGTCCTTGGTTGAGATGTACCACCTGCTGCTGATCCCACTCATGTGTGTGCACATGTGTTTGTGCCTGTATCATAGTGAGAAAACATAGCCACTAAATAAGACACTAAATAAGTGTGGGAATATATCATTAAGAAACCAATGATATATTCCTACACTACAGCAAAAATGGTTTTTTGATGGATGGCTTTGCACAAGGACAACTAAAAAAGAAAACTAAAGTGATATTAAACTTCTGCCCTTTCTCCTACTTTGTATTTATAATTAAGCATAACAGTGAAACTACACTGTAAGAGAAACTTTGAGCAGATACAAGATACAAGACAAGGGCTCTTCATGGTATCATATCCCATTATTCTAGAGCTAAGGAAGCTGAGACAGGAGAACTGAGAGTCAAGGCCAACCTGGGCTTCAGAGCAAGGCCCTGTCAGGAAAAAGACAAAGTTGAGGTAGAAGGGCCAGAGAAGTGAGGGGAAGAGAGGGGATGGGAGGAGAGGGGAGAAGAGAAGAGAAAACAAAACAAAAAAAAAGAATAGGCTAGAGAGAGAGTAGAACTAATGAAAGACACACTGGGGAGATAATGCTGTGGAAACAGGCTTATTTAGGTATGGTAGCTCACACTTGTAATCCCAGGAACTAGAAACTAAAGCAGAAGGACTGCCAGGAGTTCAAGATCAGCCTGGCCAACATAGAGACTCAAGGCCAGCCTTAGCTACAGAACAAGATTCTATCTCAAATACAGATGAACTAAGAATCAAGCTTGTGGCTCAGCCTGCAGCGTCTCTATTTTCTTGCTTTGGTTTTTAGCTACTAAGTCTAAGCTACCCAGTCCATTCTTGGACTGAGTCTGGAACTCAGAGGACCTTGAGGCTTACACTCTTTTGGCCTCAACCTCCCAGGTAGCTGGACTAACAGGCTCACTCCTGGCAGGCAGGGGCTTTGGATGTTTCTTCCTGCCATTTTTAATGTTTTTTTTTTTTTTTAAATGCATCTGGGGTGGAGGAGAAGCCATTTCTGAAGGCAAATACATAACTGCATGTGGATAAAAGACTGGTTCCTCTCTTTATCTCCACAGGGGGCTTGGCATCTGTGATTTACACAGATACCCTCCAGGCCATTATCATGCTGATTGGATCTTTCATCCTCATGGTGTTTGGTAAGCCAGGACTACTATAGATCCCTAGATTCTTGTTTCTGTCTATCTGTTATTGCTTCCTTCACTTCTCCTGAGTCATATTTTCCTGTCATTATTATAATTCCCATCATGGAAATGTTTGCCTAGCATCTTTCTTGCTTTATTTTATCAAAAAGAAGAAAATGAGGGGTTTTTTTTCCTTTAAAAATATTGCTTTGGTTAATTTTGTTATTTAACCTCCATTTCTTTGTGCTCAGAATAGATGAAAGCCCTTGGCTGATAACTTCAGAGGAGTGTCGGTTGAAAGTATAAAAGCCACTGGTTTCTGTTGTAGTTGTGTCAGTAAGGTGATACCTGTTAAAGTAGGAGGGGCCATTCCACGGTGAATGGAACAAATCCCCTAACTATACCACTCCACGGGGGGAAAACCAGTTTATTGTGGAGGGACCTGCCTGGTTATCTCACAGGCACAGAGAGCAGCAGTTCAGCAGGAAAGCTAGTGGACTTTATGTGGCAGTCAGCAGGCTGCCAGCCCTTGAACTGATGGGGACTGTTCTGGTTAATCAGGAACCAGGTGCACTTTGCACATCAGTTGCCCATTAGGGGAAAAGAAGGGAAGTAGTGGCTTTCTTGACAAACAGAAACCTGAATTGTGAAGTTTCTTGAGGAATGCTGAGTTTAGGTTTCTTTACACCTGGTATGGATTCTTATGTTTATCTAGTCAGAACCAGGCTGGGTTGGGCTTGGGCCCTAATCTTAGAACGTTGTCAGCACTGCCCTTTTGGGGGCCTGCTTTGTGACCTGAAAGCTTTGAATTTGAGAGAGAGAGAGAGAGAGAGAGAGAGAGAGAGAGAGAGAGAGAGAGAGAGAGAGAATGATGATGATGATGGTGGTGGTGGTGATGGTGATGGTGGTGGTGGTGGTGGGTGCAGTAGAGGGATTGGAGAGAAAAGAAGAAGAGTGAAAATGATGTTTCAATTTCAAAAAGCAACCAAGCAATGGTGACTCACGCCTTTAATCCCAGCACTCTGGAGGCAAAGGCAGACAGATTTCTAAGTTTGAGGCAAGCCTGGTCTACAGAGTGAGTTCCAGAATAGCCAGGACTACACAGAGAAACCCATCTCAAAAAAATCAAACAACAACAACAACAATAATAATAATAAATTTCCCAAACCAAACACTTACTAAAATAAAAAACCTTTTGATTTATCTAGAACTTTCACTAAATACAGAATTAAGTATTAGAAAATTTCAGGTAACTATTAACCAGTTGTACTATTTTATATAACAATCTATTAAAAGGGGGTGTTCTCTGAATCTCTTGCCTGTTCATAGAACCCTTTTCCTCCTACTGAATTGCCCTTATCCAGTCTTGATATGAGGATTTGTGCCTGGTCTTATTGTATCTTGTCAT